GGAACTCTGTGAATATTTATTCTTATTATTATCATTATTTTTCTTCTTTTATTCTCGAATTAAATTTATTTATTTTCAATCCATCATGCATTAACTATTATTAATGTATAGAGACACAGTTGTCTATACTTTTCAATCGACCATCCCGACCACACATGACGTACTACTTTCCTGAATTCGTGTTAAACGAAGGGAACATTATTTGGTTCAAGAATATTGTTCTAATTAGCACATCTCCTTTTCTCTTTGTATTATACAACTTTATTCTCACATAAATAAATACATTTACTACTTTTATGTACAGATAGTACTATTACGAGAAATTGTATCTTATAAATTAATCCTTGTTACGTATTATTTAAACATCGAACGAATTATGCAACGCGATTTAGTTCAATAATGTTGATCATTTGATTAAATAACGCGAACAAATGTGTTCATTAAGTTTGCATTTTTTTGTCGTTGTTGTTCTTTTTTACGGTGTAATAACAAAAAATCTCGATATTTTACACAATAGAAAAATGAATGTGGATGTGTAATGTTTGATGAGAACATATAGTAAGGGTTGATACAACACTGCTGACCTTAATAGAGCTGTAAAAACCTAGCTGCAATAGCAGTGCGACCGCTAATTTGAGGTCTTTGTTAACGCGAGAGAGAAGCTCGTGGTATATAGGAGGTATGTAGGGGGTATATGAGTACTCGCTTGCCGAGTGCTTTCCATAAAATGGGGTTGAGGTTGGTGGCAGCTTCCGGAAAGCCACATGCAGGAGTTCCTCATCACATACAGGAAATACTTCTTCCTCCAACCTTCTACGAATTTTACGTAGGATTTTTGAAAACATCGAAATTATACCAATAGAAAATGATAATAACTAATAATCGATTATTGTTTCTCGTTTCTTCAATTTATTTCTATTTCTTATTCAATTTTATGCATTTGATTCGATCAAAGAAAAATATTGAAATGACTATTGTTGTAAATGAATAAAGGAAATAAAATGTATTTAATAAATATCTTAATGAAAATTTTGTATACTTATTAGAAAATTGTGATATTAATTTTTTCTTAAACATTAACCAAATCAGATTAATTTGGTTTGATATTTTTCAATTAAAAGTTTTTCAATTACTAATAATAGAATTAAATTTAGAATTAATGAAAATAAGTAATTGAATGTTCATATGAGATATTTGCAATATAATTTATATAATAATACTGTGATATTTTTTGTTTATAATCAAAAATTCGATTCGATTCGATATTTGCAACTAACATCACTAAAATTACAGTGATGTATTATAAGCTGATTGAAACGAGGAACAAGTGTGGGTGTATGTGTATATATATATATATGAGTGAGAGGAATTCTGTGCGTAGGTGAAGATACATCGAGATTTTGGCATAGAGGTAGAGAGACAAATCTCGTTTTGAGTCCGTACATTACTACGTACTAATATGGTTGCTTCGTGTAGGATGAAGAGCGCTTGAGGTCATACAACAAACCTCGAAGCAGTCGAATTTCAATGGGAACCTTAATTAACGTGCTAATTTCGTTGTGACTAGAATTCTGCCGCAATGCGCCATTGCAGCGTCCAACAATCGTTTTTGAAGTGTCCTTTAATATATGTACAATTAGTTAAACATCTTAAGTTAAAACGATCAATACTAAGAAGAAATAAGAATAAGAGAATAAGAAGAAATTCTTATTTTGAATCTTTTTCTTTGATTAAATGAGACATTCAGAATCAAAGTGAATTATACCACATTTTCTCATTTTTTTCCAAAAAATACCCAGTGTTTGATAATAAAATTAATACTATTAATATTTTGAGGCACAAAATTTTGGAAAATAAAAAGACCCATTTTGCAAAGAAATTTTATTACTTTTTAAATTGGATAAAGTCGATTTATTTTTATTCATAAAAAAATAAGATAATAAAATACACAAAAATAATAATAATTTAACTACATTTTTATATTATAAGGTGGGACTCAAATAGTCCCACCGTGCACATTTATGCATCAAAAAGGTGAGACATTTTAAGTCACGTAATGCCTTAGAGAAATGCTTTGGTGTTATAAAACCAAACTGTGCACTATATATGATTATAATATATGTTAGAGAGAACCAGAAACTGTATATACTTGTAATTACAGAACAAAAAAGAAAACTTTAGAAGAAGAACAAACACACCAATAAAAGACAAAAGAACAAAAAGTAAACCAAACAGGTTTCTGAAACAGAAACGTGTTACAGTACATATTAAAAACAATGTATTATACTTTCAATTATTTTAGCACATCTATGTCACTAGGAAGATAATCCTGAATAATCCACTAGGAACTTAATCCTTAACAAATTCATTTTGAAAATCTGTCTCTTCCTAAACCTACAAATGCAGAAATGTAAGGATCCACACTTTCAAAACTGGCCTAAAACAAATTGACAAAAATTTGTATAATTTTCTAAAACGTTTTTCTCAAAATCACAACAACTAGTGGGTTAGTCTATTCTGGTTCTCAACGTATGAAATGTGATATTGTATTCGAAGGTATATTCGAAGATAAATGACATGGCACGCGTTTACGAGTTTACGAGTTTAATTAAAGCATCATGGGGGAAGTGAAGCAATTAATGACCAACAACATAGTTTGGAAACTCTCTCTCTCTCTCTCTCTCTCTCTCTCGCTCTTTCTTTCTGTCTAGCAAACCTCCTCCTGCCGTTAATGAAAAAACTTTATATCTCGGTAGAAGTACCAGATAAAATGATGTATAGTTAGTTGAAAAACGGGATTCAAGAAGATCCAAGATTTATCTAACTTATTTCTTTATCTATTTTTCTCTTTTTCTTTTAACGTTGGAGGACAAGCCTTCCTTACGATTATTAGTCGTTGTTAAACGAAGGAGACAATTTCCACGCCTCGATGGACTCACTCCGGAAGCAATTATCGTCGATCGAAACAACTTTGACGTTTTATCTCCCTTACGAACTTTTTCCAGTTGGTTTTTCTGTACGATAGCCGATAACGATATCAAAAACATCGTTCTTCTCGTTGGACGTGTTCCTATTTGTGACAATAAAACACAACGAACGAGAGAAAGAAAAGAAGCAAATAAAAATATAAAAAAAATATAAAGACAAAAAGACAATTAAATGATATAGAAGAACTAGTTTTAACGGTGTAAGAAATGAGAGAAACTTTTGAAATTAATCGATGATATATTTTATTACGAAATAATTTAACGTTTTTGTTGTCGTTTTTTTTTACAGAGAAGTTCGTACGGTCGTTTTGAACAAAGGCTCCTCGGGTCTAGGATTTAACATCGTAGGTGGTGAAGATGGCGAGGGTATTTTTATCTCATTCATCTTAGCCGGTGGACCAGCCGATTTGAGCGGTGAACTTCGTCGTGGCGATCAAATTCTCAGCGTAAATGGCATCAATCTACGAACAGCCACCCACGAGGAGGCTGCTGCGGCCCTTAAGGTATATTACCAAAAATATATACTTAAAAAGACAAAAAACCTTATAAGAAAATTTTTTAATAAATTACTTAAGATTTGTTGATTTATTTTTCCTTTTCTTTCCTTGATTATCTGTTTAGGGCACCGGTCAAACAGTGACAATCGTTGTACAGTATAAGCCTGAAGATTACAACAGATTCGAGGCTAAGATCCATGATCTCAAACAACAAATTTCTCAACAGAATATGATGACAGGTACCCTCATGAGGACCTCGCAGAAGAAATCCCTTTACGTAAGGTAAAGTCGAGGATTTAAACTTAAAATAAAGCTTCTTTAAATTAACTTAACATTTTACCTAATATTGATTGTTTCATATATATCGTAACCTATTTTTAACCAAAGTTATATTATTTATAGTAATGTGATTTAAATAATAAATAAAACGATTTATTATAATTATAATTATTGTAGCATTAAATGGATACAATTTAAATTTCAAATAAAAAAACTGGCCATTTATTATGACTAATAGATATTGTATTGTATAATTTTTTATTTAAAAAATATAAAAACGATTTCTTTGCAAAACGAAAAGATTAATAATATCATAATGAGAATATGATTATTTTGTCAAGAGCCCTATTCGATTACGACCCTAACAAGGACGACGGATTGCCGAGTCGTGGATTGGCATTCCGTTATGGAGAGATCCTTCACGTGACGAACGCAAGCGACGACGAATGGTGGCAGGCACGAAGAGTAACTCCTCAGGGTGAAGAAGAAGGGCTTGGTATAATTCCGTCGCGTAGGCGATGGGAACGTAAGCAACGTGCCAGGGATCGTTCGGTCAAGTTTCAGGGTCACATGCCGGTCATTCTTGACAAGGTAAAGGCTCCACCTTAGAAACTGCTGTAATTATCTATACTATACAATCAAAAAGAATGAGTTCTAATTTTATTTACACGTTCAACGTTATTATTACTAATATTTTTTGTTATGATAAAAGGTGTACTCGGCTAAATATAAAATAAAAAATTTCATTATAAAAAGTATTAAATGATCTAACAAAAAATATTTTTATTTATTTATTTAATTAATATTTTGTAAAATAAATTTGTATATAAATTGGTATAATATATAAGCCACCTATATTACCGATAAATACTTTATTACAATTTAAAATACTGATAAAAAAATTGGAAAAAAAATTAAATACTTACTTTATGAATATCAGTAGTATAATAAAAAAAAAAAAATATTTAAAACTTAATATATATTATACTTACAGTTTTTATATATGATAAATCGGCTTAATATTTATACCGATGCAAGTACATTAACATTCATGATTAAAATTAAAAAATAATGATAAGAAATTATTTTAAATGACTAACTTTCATTTTTTACCTTAGCAATCGACATTGGATAGGAAAAAGAAGAATTTCTCGTTCAGCAGGAAATTCCCCTTCATGAAGAGCAAGGACGACAAGTCCGAGGATGGTTCGGATCAAGAACGTGAGTATTGGAAAGAAAAGTATTTCTACGAAACTTGTCCTGCACGTTCTGTGCATGTTCCAATCCTATAATCATTGTGTTTTAAGTGTTATTCTCGTGGTATGTATCTCTATCTCTCTTTTTTTTTCTCTTTTTCCACTGGTATCTCGTGCGATGATTATATACTCCATTCTCGTAAATCTATTTACTGTGACATAATTCAAACAGAATGATATACTGAAAATAATCTTGATGTACGATCAACTTGTCTACATCTCGTTAGAATATTTTATCCAACTAGTTATGATTTTTTTCTGAATTTACTTGTTTTCTCCCCCCTCTTTCTCTCTTTTATTATCAAATTAACGTATAAATGACAAAATTATTGTATGATATTATTATTTATTGCTGATGGTTTTTTTTTTATAATAATTCAATTAATGATATATAAATGATACATACATATAATTCTTTACACAATGAAACAAATTAAATTTAGAAAAGCAATATAAAAAATATCTCTTAAGGACAAACTCAACGATACTCACCTAACTCCAGAATGAGCTTTTGTGTTTTTGATGATGTGAAAACGTGACATGTGTTTTGTTTTTGCCTGCTTATGTAGGGTCGCCCACAACACCTGAGAATGAAACCGATCCTACTCGTAAGTATTTTCAATGAGTTTTTAAAATAAAAAACAAATATTCAATATACTAATACAAAATATTAAACAATTCACTCTCATACACTCTCATTAACTCTTATTTTTTGGTTTTACCTATCTCTATTCTCATTTATTTATTTTTTTTTTTATTCTATTTAACATACATATTATATTTTATTCACGTGTATTTTGTTATATAAATTTTGCGTTTGAAACTTCCCACCGGCTATCGATCGACCAATAGATTTTAGTCTTTGCATGTGTTAGTTAACTGCACAAAACTTCATCGTTGCATGCCGCATACCTCTAAAGCACAAACTCGCTTTTAATTGGCAAACTTTAAGTTTATCTAATTCGTTCTATGTGTACACGTGTTGATATATATACATACATGCATGTAACCATATACGTATACGTACGTATGCACGTGTGGTAAATCGCTTTTCCCGTTGCTTTTAGTGATCACGACATTTTCATTTGCGATCGAAATAATGATTTTTTATTCAAATTTGTCGCCAAAAGGAATTTGAAAAAAGTTTCTTTTTTTTTTGCTTAAATACGAGTAAAAAAAATTGTGTCGTGTTTGTTCTTTAATCAATATCTGGAATAGATAAGAAGAAGAAGAAGAAGAAAAAGCAGAAAGAAAAAAATGTCGACTGATTTTCTCGATTTTTTTACTTGGTCACGACCGAAAAAATGAAGTACATACTCGATTTAGATTCTTTGTTACGGACACATCGAGTTAATTAAGAATATTTAAAATTTTTGGATATTCGAAATACATATTGGTTTTTAAAAAAAGAAAGAAAAAAAATATGATTGATCAGATAGAAGAAAGAATTAGAATAAAAAGAGAAAGCAGATGGAGAAGAAAAAAAAGAATAAGATGGCGCTTTAACGCTTAATTAACTGTAGCGATAATTAATGGCAGCTTATTAGTACGCAATGTATACTGAAATATTCAACTTGTTATGTTCTAGCATTCATGCTGTGCTACACCCAGGACGACACTAACACTGAAGGTAATCGTCTCTCTTGATCCTCTGTGTGTGTTTCTCTCTCTCTTTCTCTCTCAACATATTTTTCCTCTCCCCATCTCATTCACATTTTATTCCTTTCTTATTCTTATTTGTCATTTCCTTTGTCTTTTCTTCTCGTTCCACTTTTCTTATCCTTTATTTCTCGTTTACTCGTGTTATCCATTAATTAACAAGATCATACTCATTCATTAGCGCGTTAATTGTTAGAAACAAATTATTATAATATTTATTGTAATAGACAATTTTTAACAACATTAATAATTTTGTATATATTTTTTTATTTGATTTTTATTCTTTTTATTTA